TTCCACTAGACCAGGTTGCTCCAAGCCTCATCCAGCCTGGCCTTGAAGACATCCAGGGATGGGGCATCCACAACATCTCTGGGCAACCTGTTCCAGTGCCTCACCACCCTCTCTGTGAAGAATTTCTTCCTGATGGGGTTGATGGCAGGGTTTTCTTCCTCCCCTCCTGTCATTTGGTATCTTTTGAGAGGGCTGCAGGAGTAGATGCGGCCGTCGGCCTGAGTGCAGGTGGGTGCCGGGCAAGGGCCAGCCCGGTGCTCCCCAGAGCAGTGCGCCCCTTCGGCTGCCGCCTCCTTGGGTTTGGTGACAGTGAGGGGGTGAGATGGCATCGTTTCCCAGCTGTCAGCCCGTATCTGGTTAGCACTCTCTGTTGATGCTTTTAGATGCCTCCAGTTCAGTCCATGCTGTGGTGGCGTAAGGCTGCGTACGCTCCTGGAAGCACCATGGCATGAAATGGAGGCTCCTAGAAGCAAGACGGAAGGTACAGTACGGCAGCGACCCCACGGACCCGCTCCCTCCCTCTTGTGCTGCTGTGTGATGGTGGGGGGCGAAGGGACGCAGGAGAGGCTGCAGCGGAGGAGATGTGGCTCCTGCTTCATGTCGGGCCCGTGCTGCCAGGCAGAAGAAGCGGCGCATGTCCCAGCGGCAACCGCGGCGGCGTGAGCCCTGGGTACCCCGGGATGCGTCTTTCGCCACCGGCGTTTTAATGGAACGTCCCATTCCTGTATGGAAATGGAGTTGGAGACCTTTGCTGAGAAAGGAACGTGGGTTTCAGTTACAGCAACATTCAGGGCTTGTGTTTCTGTGTCTCCTTGCACCACAGAAAAGCAGGGTCCAGAGCGGAAGAGGATTAAAAAGGAGCCCGCCACCAGAAAGCCTGGCTTGCTCTTCGGAATGGGCCTTTCGGGGATCCGGGCAGGCTACCCGCTCTCCGAGCGCCAGCAAGTCGCTCTCCTTATGCAGATGACAGCAGAAGAGTCTGCAAACAGCCCAGGTGAGGTCCGGGGAGAGGTTCTGCTCAGAGGTGTGGGCGGATGGGTGTGCGTACCCTCGGTGCCCAGCCCAGGGTAGCTCCTTGCCGAGACGAGCTGCCAGCCCCAGTGCGGTGCTGGGGGTCCGGTGTGCTCTTCCTTGGGGTCCCCCTGCTCTCTCAGGTGGGATGCTGGAGCGGGGCGGCGGAACACCCGCTCCCACAGGGCTCTGCAAGAGACTGCAGGCATGGGCTGCCGCCGGGGTTCAGACATGCCTGGGCTGCCCATCCTTCTCCCAGTGTAAGGCAGTAGCAGATATCCCACGGGCAAATCCAGGCTACCACTGAGCTGGCCCAGGCTACCACTGAGCCAGCCCAGGCTACCACTGAGCCAGCCCAGGCTACCACTGAGCCAGCCCAGGCTACCACTGAGCCAGCCCAGGCTACCACTGAGCCAGCCCAGGCTACCACTGAGCCAGCCCAGGCTACCACTGAGCCAGCCCAGGCTACCACTGAGCCAGCCCAGGCTACCACTGAGCCAGCCCAGGCTACCACTGAGCCAGCCCAGGCTACCACTGAGCCAGCCCAGGCTACCACTGAGCCAGCCCAGGCTACCACTGAGCCAGCCCAGGCTACCACTGAGCCAGCCCAGGCTACCACTGAGCCAGCCCAGGCTACCACTGAGCCGGCCCAGGCTGCTTAACCAGAGCTTGGGTTCCACGGGAGCCTCCTCCACGTCAGAGCTTCGCGTTTCCCGCTGGCGTCTCGGGCTGACTCAGTGAAGGAGCATTGCGAATAAAGTTAAAATACCATCCTGTGGGTTTGGTAACGTTTATTCTTGTGGAGAGGGACAAGCCGTGTAACCGCTGCAGCTGTAACTCGAGATGCGGAGCAGCTGGAATGTGTTTACCACGGATTTTGTATTTCAGTAATTTTTATCTCTTGCATACGTGACCCCCCAGGTTTTTAGAGGCGCCGTGCTACCTGTTTGCGCACATCTGCGTCCTACACACGAACCTGGCGGCTTTTAGCCTCGTCTTTTGTTGTTCTTAACGCCAACCTAGCTGCTTATGTTGCTGTTACTTGGGGGAAGAAAAAAAAAAAAAGGCAAAAAGCTGTGTAGTCTTCAGAGCATTGGGATGTTCTCCCAGGAAATGAGCAGTCTCCTCCCAAGGCTGTCAGACCTCATGGGAAAAGGCCGCTTCCCTTGGGAAATGAGGTTTTAGGGTAAGGAACTGCATTGTCTGCTCCTAAATCATGGGATTGCCTACAAGGTCTGCAGTTCTCCAGCGGGCTTTGGCAGCCTGCAGTTAAAATCTGCATTACGCACACAGGCTTCCCTCTGTCTTCACATCGACTTCAGAGGCTCTCGGTGCCTTCTGGTGAGCGTTTTGGGGAGAGACGAGATGAAACGCGTTCCAAGAGCTCCCTCTAAGGGCTGTGGGCTTCCTTTGAATCTCGTCTCTTGACTCTCTTTTCTCTCCTCCATGCAGTTGACACAACACCAAAGCATCCCTCTCAGTCCACAGTTTGTCAGAAGGGAACTCCTAACTCTGCCTCCAAAACCAAAGATAAAGTAAATAAGAGAAACGAGCGAGGAGAGACTCGGCTGCATCGAGCTGCCATCCGAGGAGATGCCCGGCGCATCAAGGAGCTCATTATCGAGGGTGCAGATGTCAATGTGAAGGACTTTGCAGGTAACCAACCTGCTGGCCGTACTGGCCAGGCAACCCACGGATCCCAGCCTTTTCCCACCACTGAGAATGGCTCCCAATGGAGGAAGCAGTTTCTTTATAACACGGCTTTGCTCCTTGTGAAGAGGGGATTAACCAAAAATAAGGATTTTGCCCTTTTGGGAGGAAAGTTTTGCTGTCCTTTAAAAAACTTGTCCTTTAAAAACCCAAACTACTACAGATTTGTCGAAATAATAAACCCACAAAAAGCATCAGTTCCCTTGTTGGAGTTTGGGAGCTGAATTCCCAGGCTGCCCTGAACATGCTCCCGCTCAGGCCACGGATGCTGGGCGGGGGGGTCTGATCCATAGTGATCCCTGGGACTGCCGTGTCTCCACGCTCCGTAACTGCAACCCTCTGCTCTGTTTCCTTGTGCCATCTGGGAAGCCTGGAGGGGAATTTGCAAAGAGAGTTGGGCTCTTTTAGCTCTTTTTTTTTTACTTAAAATGTAAGAAACGATGCTGTTGGTGCACACCCGTGCCAGCGACGGGGCTGAATTGGCACGAGGCAGCCTTTCTTCCAGCACATCCCAGAGCTTGACTTTGCTCCTTGCTCTTCCCTTCACACGATTTTGGGGCTATAAATAGATCTGCCTGTTCCTCCGCCTGTATGATTAATGCCAGCGCTAGACCACGCTATCGATTGTGATTAATTCTGGGTGCGGGTGCCCCCTTTTTAGCGCGAAGGTAACGGAATGAGCTCCCACAACGCTATCAGCAAAATACCCGAGGAGCCATGCACATTCTGCTGGGAAACTTCAAAACAGTTTTCTGCTTAAAAATAGTCTGTTTGAAGATGATAAAATGTTTTGTTCTATGTTCTTCAGAGGTTTGTTTGAGAACTAGAGCCGCTGTTACTGTGGAGACCTGCTGTTTGGTTTCTCCCCGAGCCGGGGGCCTGTTCTGCAGCGGCATGGCTGCTTGCTTGGCAGAGCACACCGAAAATATTTGTGAGGGCTGTGTGGGGGATGATTCAGAGCCATGCCTGCCGGTCAGAGCTCGGTCCTGAGCTGGGCAGCAGTGTTTCCCTTACAGAGGGGCTGGAAGGGGAAAGGATTTGAGACCAGCCTTCCACACAGCATCCACAGTCCTCTTAATCTTCCACACGAAACTTTGCCATTCCGTCTCCCGGGGCTGTGTCGGTGTGGGCAGGTGACCCGTCCGTAGCACCTTGAGTGACCAGAGGGAGAAGAGGGATTCATTCAGCTGCTGCCCAGTTGGAGCAGCAAAGCAGAGCTGCAGGTCTCTTCCTGCTGTGCCACGGGGAACTGGGCAAACGAGACCATCTTGGCCATCAGAGCCACAGCCCCCTTGGCACACCGGGGACGGAGGTTACGCGTCACGGTCTCTGCTCTCCTCCCCAAAGGTGATGTCCGTGTTCTGAATGTCCTTCTGCTTGCAGGCTGGACGGCGTTGCACGAGGCGTGCAACCGGGGTTACTACGATGTGGCGAAGCAGTTGCTCGCTGCGGGCGCCGAAGTCAACACAAAGGGGTTGGATGACGACACCCCCCTGCACGACGCGGCGAATAACGGGCACTTCAAGGTCTGTTTTTGCTGGGTTTCACAGCTCTGTTTTTTAAGGACTTGTACTCCCTCGTGCTTCAAGCAGCCAGCTGTGCAAATGCAGTTTCTGGTTGTTTTAGTACCGTTTGCTGCTGACAGCCACATAGTGGGCAAGAATTTCCCTGCCCCGCTCCTGTTGGGCGTTGTACTCAGTGTTCCCCTGCGCGGGGGATAGTTCATTCTTCTGGATCAGAGGAGGGAACGTGGCTTTGTGTCTTGTTCTTCTCCCTTCTTCCCTGCCCACATTGGTTCGTGTTGCTGGGTTTTGCCTCCTTTCTTACTGATGGCTGTTAGTACCGCAGGGCACACGGCTTTGAGGACACCCCCCCTCGAAGTTAGGTGGGAAAGGTGTGCAAAAAGCCTGGAATCAACATCACGAGCGTCTTTCAAGTCTCGTTCTTCTGTTTGCAGGTGGTGAAATTGTTGTTACATTATGGAGGGAATCCTCATCAAAGCAACAGGAAGGGCGAGACACCTTTAAAAGTAGCTAATTCTCCCACCATGGTGAATCTGCTCCTGGGAAAGACCACGTACCCCTCCAGCGAAGAGAGCTCGACAGGTGAGATTGACCTTTGTGCGCGCGTGGGAGTGATGTTTGTGGCCTGCAGCTGTCTGTTAATACAGAGACGTTAAGAGGACAGTGAAGTTAGACTCTTGTCAGAATATCTGCACGCTGCTGCTACGGTCAGGAGTCCGTCTGTAGCTGTAACCCAAAGTCAGACAAGATAACTACCAGCCCTTAGCTCCGGGAGCTCTAGCTGTTTGCCCTGGAAGCCTACGTTGAGATCACTTGCCCGGTGCAGTCGAGATGTAGGATTGGAAGCCAATTGCAGGTAAATGGATGTCTTGCCTTGAAAATGTGGGTCATATTCCAGCTCGTGCGTCGAGAGGAGGAGGTTGTTCCCATCCCTCCCCGATTGGGGGGCATGGCGCGTGGCCGTTCCCGGGCTGTCCCCCCGTCCTGCTGGAGCCTGTCCTGTGAGTGCCACCATTGTGGCTGTGCCGGGTGGGACGCGCTGCAGGTTTTAATTAGGGCTGATGAATTCAGTCTTAGGGGGAGACTTGCCCTGTGCCGTTCGTGGTCAGCACCCTGTTAGACAGCTTTTCTCTCGGGAGGCACTGGATCTTGTTTTGCGGGACACCCCGTGCAGGTTGGAGGCTGGATGTAGCTATCCCTTTCAAAAAGCTTTCCCAACCTGGTGTTGCGAGCCTCAGCTGCAAACTCGGCAAAGGCTGGGAGAGGCAAAGGGGTGGCAGGGCCGTCCGCAGGGGTTCCCATCCGCAGCAGACTGTTGGTGTTCCCTCCCCCAAGCCCCTCGCAGCCCTTAACGCGTTGTTCTTCTCTCTCTGCAGAGACCTCAGAAGAGGAGGATGCCCCTTCCTTCGCTCCCTCCAGCTCTGTTGATGGCAATAACACAGACTCAGAGTTTGAGAAGGGTTTGAAGCACAAGCCCAAGGCCCAGGAGCCCCCCAAAACCATCACCCCGGTGAAGGATGAGTACGAATTTGATGAGGACGATGAGCAGGACCGGGTCCCGCCAGTCGACGACAAACATTTGCTGAAAAAGGATTACAGAAAAGAGACTAAAGCAAACAGTTTCATTTCCATACCCAAAATGGAAGTGAAAACTTATACTAAAAATAACACAATTACACCAAAGAAAGCTGCCCACCGCATCCTGTCGGACAGCTCGGACGAGGAGGAGACCAGCGTTGCTGTGGGGACGGGGGAGAAGCTGCGGCTGTCGACCCACTCGATCTTGCCCAGCAGCAAGATTCGGGAGCCCGCCAGCACGAAGGCGCAGAAGGAGAAGAGCAAAGTAAAAAAGAAGCGGAAGAAGGAGACGAAAAGCAAAGAGGTTCGGTTTGGCAAAAAAAATGACAAATTTTGTTCCTCTGAATCAGAGAGTGAAAATGTGGAGAGTGAGGAGGATGATAGAGACTCTCTCCAGAGCTCTAGCTGTGTAAAGGACTCCAGGCTAGTGCTAAAGGAATCCTCCTTGTTTAACTCTCTGTCTGCCTCATCGACCTCTTCTCATGGGAGTTTAGCATCCCAGAAACATAATCCCAGTCTCACAGAACAGCACTCCAAGCACTGGAGGACGGACAATTGGAAAACCATATCTTCTCCAGCTTGGTCAGATGTCAGTTCCTTATCGGACTCCACCCGGACGAGACTGACGAGCGAGTCAGACTACTCGTCCGAGGACTCGAGCTTAGAGTCGCTAAAGCCAGTCAGGAAGAAACCAGAGCACAAAAAGAAAAACACCCCACACAACACTGTTTCTGAGAAAAAGAATTCATTCCATAGCAATGTGGATGGAGCAATTCCAAAGCTGGACAAGGAGGGGAAGGTTGTTAAAAAGCATAAAACAAAACACAAACATAAAAACAAGGAGAAGGGGCAGTGTCCCATCAGCCAAGACATTAAAATAATCAAAACGTTTTCTTTTGAGTTTGAGGACTCTAAACAAAAGCCTGAGAAAGGCTTGATAATAGAGACTGAAAATCCAGTCGAAAACAAGTTGAAAGTGTTAAAGCACGAGCGAGAACACGGAAAGAAGGAGGAAAAGCTCCCCAAGGGTAAAGCGGAGGAGAAGGAATGGTTGTTTAAAGATGAGACTGGAAAATCCTCGAAAGAGGAGAAATCTTTAAGAAAACTCAAAGATGGTAGTAAAGACATGAGCAAATCCTTCAGAGAAGGATTAGGTAAATCCGAAAAAGAGAAACCTGTAAAGGAGAAGTCTCCCAAGGAGGAGAAGCCGAGACTACACAAGGAGGAGAGAAAGAAGAAGTCAAAGGACAAGCAGTCAAAATCTGAAAAGAAGAACGAGCTGAAGGAGGAGAAGGTTGCTAAACTAGAGAAGGAAAAATCCTTCAAGGAAGAGAAAGAAAAATGCAAAAAAGAAAAACTTTACAGGGATGAGTCCGGCTTCGATGAGTTTAATAACAAAAACCAATTTCCCGAAAGCGAGGACACGAAGTTCAGCCTTTCGGATGATCAGCAAGAGAGGTGGTTTTCAGACTTGTCTTCTGATTCATCCTTCGATTTCAAGGGTGAAGATAGCTGGGATTCTCCAGTGACGGATTTCAGGGAGATTAAAAACGATACCGTGGCAAAACTCATCATAGAACCTGTGAAAGAGGAAATTAAGGACAAGAAAAAAGAAAACAAAACGAAAGAGAAGAAGGAATACAACGAGAAGCGTAACGAAAAGGACGCTTTCTTAAAGAAGAAGGAGAGGGACTATGTGGACAAAAGCTCCGAGAAGAAAAAGGACCAAACGGACAGACACAAGGTTACCCCCAGTTACTTGCCCGAAAAGGATAAGAAGAGGAAGGATTCCGCAGAGAGCGTCAAGGAGAGGAAGGAGAAGGATACCGGGGAAACCACCAAAGACAGGAAGGATTCCTCCGATGGCTCCAAGGATCGGAAAGACACCAAAGCAAAGCAGGAGGAGCCCTATCGAGATGATTTTAAAGAATACGGCTGCGAGGCGTTCTTCAAGGATAAGTCTGACCCCGAGTTCAGCAGTAAGACCCTGGAGAGCTGGGAGAGGCACCATTCTGGGAAGGAGAAGGAGAAGAAGGATGCTCCCGATAAGGAAAAAAAAGAGAAGGTGAAGCCAGAAAAATACAAGGAAAAATCCAAAGAAGGCGACAAGGAGAAAAATGAAAAAGTCGCTCCCGAGAAAATCCTGAAAGACAAGGAACTAGACAAGAGTTTCAAAGAGAAAAAAGAGACAAAAGAGAAATACAAAGACCTGCACAGCAAGGACAAGGAAAGGAAGAGTTCTTTCGACCAGGTGAAGGAGAAGAAAGAGAAGAACTTCTCTGCGGATCGAGAGGACTTCTCCGAGAAGAAGGATGAGAAGAAAGGCAAGGAGAAGAGCTGGTACAGCATCGCGGACATCTTCACGGACGAAAGCGAAGACGAGAGGGTGGATTACAGCTTGAGCGGGTTCAAAGTCAGCGACTCCGCTGGGAGCGAAACGCACCGGCTGGACAGTCTGCAGGAGAAGGACGACGGCGCGGCCGCCGAGAAGGAGCCGTACCCCGACAAGCACCGCAAGTACTCCTCCGACCGGCAGCATTCCGGAGAGAAGCAGAAAGATAAGGACTCCAAGGAGAAGAAGAAAGACAAAGGAACATCGGAAGGGGGAAAAGAGAAGAAGGAGAAGAGTTCCTTTGAAAAACACAAAGAGAAGAAAGATAAGGACTCTACGGAGAAGTACAAGGACAGGAAAGACAGAACGTCCGTAGATTCTACTCAGGAGAAGAAAAACAAGCAGAAGCTCCCGGAAAAGGTTGAAAAGAAACATGCCAGCGATGACAAGGTGAAAAGCAAACATAAGGAGAAGCCGGATAAAGAGCATTCCAAAGAGAAAAAGTCTTCAAAAGGAGGGGAGTCGGAGAAGAGCCTGCTGGAGAAATTGGAGGAGGAGGCTCTGAATGACTATAGAGACGACTCCAATGACAAGATCAGCGAGATCTCCTCTGACAGCTTCACGGACAGGGGACAGGATCCAGGGCTGACCAGCCTCTTTGAGTCTTCTAACCTCTCCCTCACCGATGCCGCGGAGGAAAAGTTTAAGGACTCTCTCCCTTTACCCTGCCTGCAGGACAAACTCAAGGAGAAGGAGAGACACAGACATTCCTCATCCTCATCCAAGAAAAGTCACGAGAAGGAAAAAGCAAAGAAGGAGAAGACGGAGAAAAAGGAAAAAACCGAGGAATTCAAAGACTCCAGCAGCAGAAAGGATTCCACTCACTACGACAAAGATTTCTCTGTGGATGGGGAGGCTTTTGGCTCTTGCTACAACATGAAGGCAGAGCCCGATGAGGAGCCGGAGAAAAGCATTGATTACCTATTTTCTGAAAAGAAGGATAAAAACGATTCCGAAAGGGAGCTGTCGAAGAAGGCGGACAAAGAGAAGACTTACGGTTCCAGTGCCATCAGCACAGTTAAAGAGAAAAAGAAGCGAGATAAACACAAGGAGAAATGGAAGGAGGAAAAGGAAAAGCATAGAGACAAACATGCAGATGGTTTCTTCAAACACCACAAAGACGAGCCAAAGTCAGCGCTTAAAGACAAGGACAGCCCTCAAGTTACCGCCTTCAAAGAGAAATCGAAGGAGGACAACCTCAAATTCGGGGAGACCAAACTGAAAGAGAAGCTCAAGGAGAACCAAGAGAAAGACAAAGCGGAGCCAATCAAAATAAGCAATGGGAATGAAAAAATAACCCTTTCCAAAGACAGCGGCAAGAAGGATGCCAGGCCGAGGGAGAAGCTTCTGGGAGATGGTGATTTGATGATGACCAGCTTTGAGAGGATGCTGAGCCAGAAGGACCTGGAAATCGAGGAGCGCCACAAGAGGCACAAAGAGAGAATGAAGCAAATGGAGAAAATGAGACACAGGTCCGGAGATCCCAAATTAAAGGACAAGCTTAAAAGCTCGGAAGATGTGCGCAAGAGGAGCCTGGACCTGGCGACAAAGAAGCCCTTAACGCTGGATACTCAGCTGAAGGACAAGAAACTGAAAGAATTGGGTCCACTGACCCCCATACTGTCACCGGAAAACAAGGCACAGCCTGCTGTTGGGTCAGACTCGAAGGACTGGATAACGGGTCCTCAGCTGAAGGAGATCCTCCCCGCGTCTCCCAGGCCGGATCAGAACCGGCCGACGGGTGTCCCGACCCCCGCATCCGTCGTCTCCTGTCCCAGCTACGAGGAGGTGATGCAGACGCCCAGGACTCCTTCCTGCAGCAACGAAGACTACACGGACCTGATGTTCGAGTGCGCGGACTCGCAGCACTCGCTGCCCGTGTCCACCATGTCCATGAACGCCTGTTCCCCATCCTTCTTCGACAGGTACGCCAACGTTTCCAGCGGGCTGCCCGAGAACCCCGGTCAGACCCCGACTCGTACCATAGCCTCCACGAACCTGTACCGTTCCATCTCGGTCGATATCAGGAGGGCACCCGAGGAAGAATTCAGCGTCGGGGATAAATTTTTCAGACAGCAGAGCGTCCCGGCAACGTCAAATTATGACTCTCCGGTGCAGCATTTGATGGAGGAGAAAGTTCCCCTTCCTTCTGTTCCCGCTGAGAAGTTCCAGTGTTTATCTCCTGGGTATTACTCGCCAGACTATGGGGTTTCCTCGCCCAAAGTGGAGGCTTTGCACTGCACGCCCGGAGCCGTCAGCGGCGTCGCCCAGTCGCCCGAAAGCGTCTTTTCTGGTTTACAAGCAAAATCCTCCCCCTCGCACAGAGACGAATTGCTGGCT